CCTCGCATTTATCTCAATTAAACTTCATTATGATTCTTAACTGTAAACGTTATTTCATTTACAAATGTAGGAACTGATTGTTTTCGGAATTCCAATCTGCAGCGTATTTTTGACATTTAGTCAAAGTTTTTCACCCTGTACCCATCAGGACAATTCACAAGAAATGCTAAAGTAAACGTGGGAGGAGAAGTTTAATCAAATTTGGCAGTTAACTGTTGCTTATCATCGACTGGTGCGTTCTCCAGGGCAATGCCCTTAACTCTTAAGGGAAAAAAAAACAATGTTTCTGCTTAATAAGAGGAGACTGCTGACTGGTGGAAGCGTTGATGAGATGGGAGGGAGGGTTGGACATGGGATGAGGCTGGGGGTGGGGAGGTTTTGAAGCTAGTAAAGACCACAATGAGTGCATTGGGTTGTAGGCTCATGAGGCAGAATATGAGGTGCTGTTCCTCCAGTTTGTGGGTGGCATCATTGTGGTACTGGAGGAGGCCCAGGATGGACATGTCGCCCAGGGAAGTGGGAGGGGGAATTGAAGTGGTTCGCGACTGGGAGGTGCAGTCGTTTGTCGCGAACCGAGCGTAGGTGTTCCACAAAGCGGCCTCCAAGCCTCCGCTTGGTTTCCCCGATGTAGAGGAGGTCACATCGGGAACAGCGGATACAATAGACCACATTAGCTGATGTGCAGGTCCCATTCGGAAGCTGTTTCTGTATTTGCAAGCCCACCACTTGCAAAATCACCTCTGTTTGGCTTTTTTTTCTCCCCAACAGATCATCGCCAATCACCACATGCAGTCCATATCCTTCGCCTCAGGAGGCGATCCGGTAAGCACTTTCTGCTGAATTTGCGTAGCGCCCTGACATCGCGGGCCGGTTTCTCTCTCTGTCTCACTCCGGCTTGCTGCTAAAATACCCAACTCCCAACCTGAGAACCTCCCTTCTCGGCGCATCGATCTCCTTCTGAGATTCCACGGCCTTTGCAGCGAGAGAACCCAAAGACTCGCGGAGCTCAGCGGAGAGCACCGATAAAGGCTGTGGAAAGTCAGGCAGGTCCGGCAGCATCCACAGAGAGAAAGCAGCGTTAATGTGCTCCAGTGACCCTTCCTCGGGTCTCAACTCCCTCCGGGCTGTTTATGTTATTGAAGTGTGATTTTTGAAAGCGCAGGTGGACCCTTTCGACGCAGGCGGGTGGGAGTCGGGTTAGGCCAGCTCTCGGAGAGCAGCAACAGCAGCAGAAGGGCCGAACGGCTCCCTCCGAGGGCGTCGGAAAAGTGTCCACTTGCGGCACGACGTCCCCGCGCGTCAAAGGCAGCGCCTCTGAGCCCATCTGGTTTCATTCTGCGTTCGTGTGGCGCCCTTTGAGCAAGAGGGCAGTTGCGCAGCGCCCCGTGAGCAAGTCTGGGGGAGGGCTGGGAGCGACGCACCGAACCAAGTGGAGCAGGAATAGCCTCATCTGCTGCCCTCCCTTCAGAGATGAACCTCACCCCTCCCCCCATCTTTCCTCCTCCTCCAAGTGTTGTCTAACCCTCTCCCCCTTTTGCAGGACACTGCTGAATACGTTGCCTACGTCGCCAAAGATCCAGTCAATCAAAGAGGTAGGTGCCTGCTTATTTTTTTTTAGTTGTCACGATCTCGCTGCGGGGGATGTCTCTGACCTCGCCAGCTCCCGGTCTGACCATTTTTTTTATCCCCCCACCATCTCTGCTCGCCCACCACCCGCCTCCGACAGCGTGCCACATATTGGAGTGCTCCGATGCGATGGCCCAGGATGTCATCAGCACCATTGGACAAGCCTTTGAGCTGCGGTTCAAACAGTACTTGAAGAACCCTCCCAAACTGGTCACGCCCCACGACAGGTAAAAGGAGCCAGATGCGGGGTCCCCGCGTTTGCCGTTGCGCTCACATTTCCGAAGCCCCCTCCGCTGAACACCGGAGAGGCGACCGGTGGTAGCTTAACCTCAGTTAAGAGAGAAAACGATTTGGAGGTGAACAGAGGAGGTATGTTTGCAGAGGTTTGCAGATGACGCCAAGGTTGGAGGTGTAATGGACAGCGAAGGAGGTTACCTCAGAGTACAACAGGACCCTGATCAGATGGGGCTGAGGAGTGGCAGATGGAGTTTAATTGAGATAAATGCGAGGCGCTGCATTTTGGGGAAAGGCAAACCAGGGGAGGACTTATACACTTAATGGTAAGGTCCTGGGGAGTGTTGCTAAACAAAGAGACCTTGGGGGGCAGGTTCTTAGTTCCTTGAAAGTGGAGTCACAGGTAGACAGGGCAGTGAAGAAGGTGTTTGGTACACTTGCCTTTATTGGTCAGTGAGTATAGGAGTTGAGAGGGTCATGTTGCGGCTGTACAGGACATTGGTTAGGGCCACTTTGAGAATACTGCGTTCAATTCTGGTCTCCCTGCTACAGGAAGGATGTTGTGAAACTTGAAAGGGTTCAGAAAAGATTTACAAGGATGTTGCTGGGGTTGAAGGGTTTGAGCTACAGGGAGAGGCTGGGGCTATTTTCCCTGGAGCATTGGAGGCTGAAGGGTGACCTTATAGATGTTTATACAATCATGAGGTACATGGATAGGATGAATAGACAAAGTCTTTACCCCAGCGTAGGGGACTCCAAAACTAGAGGGACATAGGTTTAAGGTGAGAGGGGGAAAGATTTAAAAGGGAGCTGAGGGGCAACATTTTCACGCAGAGTGTGGTGCGTGTATGGAACGAGCTGCCAGAGGAAGTGATGGAGGCTGGTACAGTTACAACATTTAAAAGGCATCTGGACGGGTACATGGATAGGAAGGGTTTAGAGGGATAGGGGCCAAATGCTGGCAAATGGGACTAGATTAATTTAGGATATCTGGGTCAGCACGGATGGGTTGGACCGATGTAAAGCAAAGACCATAACTTCAGAAGAAAGACTTGCATTTGCATCGAGCCTTTCACAATCGCAGGACTTGAATTTACAGCCAGTTTAAGCACTTTGGAGGGATAGATAATGCTGCTGTAGGATGGGAAAGTCTAACGGTTTACACTGTGTCACCTGAGATGTTAGGGGAGGTGATTGGAACCTCAGTTACTGAGGCAGGAACTTTAAAGGAGGAGACAGAGAGAGCGAGAGAGAGAGTGTATTCAGATTTTGGTGTAAGATTTGCAGCTGCCAGTTTCTCTCGCGAGAGGCATTGGCTCAGATCGGCCACTGTCAGGCTCAATCTGTGCTCCCACCCCCAGAGCGTACGGGGAAAGGCAGCACCTTGGAGAGTGTGGCACTAGCACAGACGGCCTGGATCTGCTTCCCTGTTCCCACAGTGGGGCCTGAACCTTGTGCGTCAGACAAGCCACTGCTGATGGTACACAGCACTCGCTAAAGCTACTGATTGTCTGACAGGGTCCCCAAACCGCCTCTTCCCCTCTCTTCCTCACCTCCATCTCTGTCCTCCTTCTCCACTCCCATCCCTCTCTCCTCCCTCGCCTCTCGCTTCCCTTTTTTCTTCACCCTCTCTCCCACCTCTCTCTCATTTTGCTATCCCTTCTCTTTATCTTCTTTCACTTTATCTCTCCTCACTTTCTTGTCCCTTAATTCTATTCTCCTCTCTTCCTCTCTCCTCCCTTCCCTCTCTCTTCCATCCTTCCTGCTCCCTCTCTTTCTTCCCTCCCTCTCTCTCTCTCTCTGCCCTCCCTTTCTTTCCCCCCTTTCTCTGCCCTCTCCCTCCATCTGTCCCTCTCTCTCCCTCATTCTTACTCTGTCTCCCCTCCCTCTCTCCCTCTCTCTCTCCTTCCATCCTCCCTCCCTCTCTCTCTCCCCTCCCTCTCCTCTCTACCATTTCTTTTCCTCCACCCACTCTCCCTCTCATTCCCTTCCACCTTCTGAACCCATTTCTCCCTCTCTTTTTCCCCTCCCTCTGTCCCTCTCTCCCTATTCCCCCTCTCCTCTCTGTTATCCCTCTCTCTCTGATCTCAGTCTCTGTCTGTCTCTGTCTCTCTTGCTGTCACTGTCTTTGTTTCTCTCTGTCTCTCTCTCTCACTCTCTCTCTCTCTGTCTATCACAAGCATGGCCATAGACTCCTGTCGAATGTGTGAAATTTCTCCGTTGGCCTGCATGGAGAATCTCTCCTCCCTCACAAAGCTGCAGAACGAGTCGGCAATCTGTTCCCTCACAGCTTCTGATTGAGATTCAATTAACTGCCCGCTGAACTGTTGATGTTTAAGCGGATGCCCGTGGTGCCGTGCTCTGTGCAAAGTTAGTGTAGCCTGTGAACGAGCAGCTAACCAGAGCTAAATGGATCTGGCACCACACCAATGCAGAACAGTGCCAATCAGATCCTCAGCGGGTCTGGCAGCACCTGGAGCAATAGAGCCTGGGGGGGGGGGGGGGGGGTTTGTGTGTTCATGCTGCACATTAGTGACTCCTTCTTAGGAACATGAGCTCCGACCAGCTCCTCAGTGTTTGCAGTGGTGGTAGTTTCCCTACCTTTGAGCCAGGAGGCCTGTATTCGAGTCTCTCCTGCCCCGAAGCCATGTCCTAACATCTCTGAGCAGATGTTCAGACGAACGAGCAGCGCTCTGAAAGCTTGTGATTTCAAACAAACCCATTGGACTACAATCTGGTATCGTGTGATTTCTGACTTTGTCTCCCCACCGTCCAACGCCGGCCCCTCCACACCCTATTTTTCCCAGCATTCCCTGTTGATAACACAGTTGGTGCAATTCCTCTCTCTGTCACCGCTTTTGCTTTTTTTCTGCACTCTCACCATCTCTAATTTAAAGTATTTGTCATCTGACAATTTCTCTCTCTCTTTCATTCTCACCCATGCTCTTTCTGAGTCTCTTTCATTCTGTCTGTCTCCCTCTGTCCCTCTCTCCTTGACTCTATCCCTCTCTGGCTCTGACTCTCTCCTCTCTCTCTCTGTCTTCTGTTTATCTCTCACTTTTCTCTCTCTTCTGTCTTTCTTTTGTACCTCTCCTCTCTCTATTGTTGTTCTCTTTCTATCTCTCTCTTCTCTCTATCTCTTCCTTTTCTCTTTCTTCACTCTGTCTCTTTCCCCTCTCTATCTCTGTCTTCTTTCTATCTCTTCTCTCTATCTCTCTCCTCGCTCTTCTCTCCTCGCTCTCTTTCAGTCTCTCTTCTCTCTATCTCTTTCTCTC